AGAGTAATAAAGAAGCAAAAGCTTCTCTGTCTGAAAAGTTCTTGGAGGTGTTGTTGGTGTGAGTTTCTGTTGCCAGAGTGTTGAGCTGCTGGAGATGGAGATACAGAGATGTTGAAGGATTAATGAAGAAGACTAGAGAGAAGAGTTAATACTATGTTGTTGTTTATTTGTTCAGTTGCTTCCTACTCTTCGTGACCTCATGGACCAGCCCATGCCAGAGCTTCCTGTCAGCCATCATCACCCCCAGCTCCTTCAGAGTCAAGCCAGTCATTTCAAGGATACCATCCATCCATCTTGCCCTTGGTCGACCCCTCTTCCTTTTTTCTTCCATTTTCCCCAGCATTGTTGTCTTCTCTAAGCTTTCCTGTCTCCTCATTATGTGGCTGAAGTACTTCATTTTTGCCTCTAATATCCTTCCCTCCAATGAGCAGCTGGGCTTTATTTCCTGAATTATGGACTGGTCGGACCTTCTTATGGTCCAAGGCACTCTCAGAACTTTCCTCCAACACCACAGTTCAAAAGCATCTATCTTCTGTTGTTAAGCCTTCCTTATGGTCCAGCTCTCACATCCATAGGTTACTACGGGGAATACCATTGCTTTGACTATGTGGATCTTTGTTGCCAGTGTGATGTCTACTTTTCACTATTTTATTGAGATTGGTCATTGCTCTCCTCCCAAGAAGTCAACACCTCAGATTTCCTGGCTGCAGTCTGCATCTGCAGTAATCTTTGCACCTAGAAATACACTGTCTGTCACTGCCTCCACATTTTCTCTATTTGCCAGTTATCAATCAGTCTTGTTTTCTGAATGTTTAACTGCAACCCAGCTTTTGCACTTTCTTCTTTCACCTTGGATAGTGGAGAAGGTATAAATTGACTGGGATTATAAAAGTGTTGGAATCTATGCAGTAGCACCCTCTGTAATATATGTATACACACATATACATATGTACACACCTTTGTTTTCTCAGATTCTGTATCCATAGGTTCAACCATCCATGACATACATATGTGTGTGTGTGTGTGTGTGTATAAAGCAAACCTTAATTTTGTCATTTTATACAAGGGACACACCATTTTACAATGCCATTGCATATACTAGTATCTGAACATCCACAGATTTTGGCATCTATGAGGTATCCTAGAACCAAACTCTAATGCTCTCAAGGTAACTCCATGTTCCAAGTGAAAGACTATGTGGGCAGATATGCAAACATTTTCTCTTCTATGATTTCAAATCAACGGGCGTGGCCTATTTACTCCCTTGCAAGCAATGCCTCAACCATTCATGGAAAATACTGTTTTTGTTCTCCAGGCTTCACACAGGAAAAAGAGGAGCCTATGCTCTAAGGGGCTAGAAAGAAGCAAGTCACAATGTGAGGAATAGAAAATCCTTGTTTCCTTGGCACAATGTGATACACACTTAACGATATGGGATATGGTGGGTGTCCCTGGTGTTGATATCACCCCACTTTGAGAACCAGGTGGTTTGCTGTGGTGTTTTTGTTAGCATATGCACTAATGACAACTGTCTCGCACAACCACATTCACTAGCCTTCATTTGACCAATTGGAATATATGGAACGATAGTAATGTTACAAATATGTATAAGAGTTATTATTACCAGGAAAGCACATATGACCTTGTAGTGCCAAAGAACGGATCTAACAGGAAGGCCTGTGTCATCCAGAATGAACTTGTGTTCTGAGATCCTTGTGAAAGGATCCTACCATAGTTATAGACAATAGACATATGTTGTGAAAGAGGGTCTTTTTGATAGCTGCTCTATGACGTCAAAGTTCTTTCCAAGGGAGTTTGAAGTGCCCACTACTTTTCTTTTGCCAGCAGATTATTTATTATTTATTTGAAGAGACGTTTTACTCTTATTGGTTTCTATGGAAGTGGTATATTGTCATTGCTGTGTTTAAATGCAACTAAACTTAGTTCTGTTTGCAACAAGATACATTAAGTCTTTTTATTTTTACTAAAGGTTGAACACTCCTTATTTGGAGTTTCTTAATCCAAAATCTTTCAAAATCCCAAAATTGTCCAGGTCAACTTCACTCATATGAAGAATTTGAACATTTATGTGTACATTAATCTGTTTGTTGACTCTATGAAGACTTAAGAAGAAATTTAAGATGGCAATAAGACCATTTTTGGACTTCATTTGTTCTACAGAACCAAAACTACTACTACTGGACTGTAAAATTAGAGTAAGCGTCACCTATATGTATAGCTTTATGTTAAGTATGCATTATTAACTTCATTTGAAACCTTGGTTACACCTGAGAATCTTATCAAGTTCGGAGTAAAATTGTGTGAGATATACCACTTACCATGTTAAGAGTATACTTATGTGAAATGTGGATAAATTGAATACCTATATGAGAAGTATCACACTACTTTATACCATACACCCTCTTTCCTGTCTTATGATGGTTGTACACATACTTTGTTTTGACCACAAAGTAATTAAACATATTGCATAAAGTTACCACCAGACTATGCGGATTTATTTGGATTGTTATATTTTACTTTGTTCTTATTTTAATTGTCTTTTTGCTTTAATTGATTGTTTTGCTTTTATGTTTTGTGAGTATTTTGTCCCATATGTAAGCCACCCCAAGTCCCTTTGGGGAGATGATGGTGGCGTATAGGAATAAAGTTATTATTATTATGTGTATATGAAACATAAATGAATTTGGGGCTTAGACTTGGGTCCCATCTTGAGGATATCTGATTATATCTAGCAGGGGGTTGGACTCGGTGGCCCTTGTGGTCTCATAAATCTATGTGCCTATCTCATTATGTACCTATATGCAATATAGGTATTCCAAAATCTGGAGGGGGGTATCCCAAAACTAAAATACTCCAGGTCCTAAACATTTCAGATAAGGAATACCCAACCTGTATTATAATTTTACTATTTTACTATTTATTAGCAAGCATCTTAGTTGTATTTTCTTTGAATTTGTGAGTAAACTTCCTGGGCTTCCAAGGCAGGATATAAATCAGCCTTTCTCAACCTGGGGGTTAGGACCTCTGGGGAGGGTCGCAAAGGGGTGTCAGAAGGGTTGCCAGAGACTATCAGAAAACACAGTATTTTCTGTTGGTCATGGGGTTCTCTGTGGGAAGTTTGTCCTGAATTCTATCATTGGTAGGTTTCAGAAAGCACTTTGATTGTTTATTCCTTTAGTCACTTCCGACTCTTCATGACCTCATGGACCAGCCCATGCCAGAGCACCCTGTCGACCGTCACCACCCCCAGCTCTTTCAGAGTCAAGCCAGTCACTTCAAGGATACCATCCATCCATCTTGCCCTTGGTCAGTCCCTCTTCCTTTTTCCTTCCATTTTCCCCAGCGTCATTGTCTTCTCTAAGCTTTCCTATCTTCTCATGATGTGGCCAAAGTACTTCATCTTTGATTGTAGGTGAATTATAAATCGCAGCAACTACAACTCCCAGATTTCAAGGTCTATTTTCCCCAAACTCCACAAGCGTTTACATTTGGGCATGTTGAGTATTTGTGCCAAGTTTGGTCCAAATCCATCATTGCTTGAATCCACAGTGCTCTCTGGATGTAGGTGAACTACAACCACAAAACTAAACATCAGTGCCTACTAAATCTTTTCAGTATTTTCTGTTCATCATGGGAGTTCTGTGTGTCAAGGCTGGTTCAACTCCATCGTTGGTGGGGTTCAGAATGCTCTTGGATTGTAGGTGAACTATAAATCCCAGTATCTACAACTTCCAAATGACAAAATCAATCCCCCCTCGCAACCTCACCAGTATTCAGATTTGGGCGTATTGGGTATTTGTGCCAAATTTGGTGCAGTGAATGAAAATACATCCTGCATATCAGATATTTACATGAAGATCCATAACAGAAGCAAAATGACTGTTATGAAGTAGCAACAAAAATATTTTTTTTTGGTTGGGGGTCAGCACAACATGAGGAACTGTATTAAGGGGTACTGGTATTAGAGAGGTTGTGAAACAGTGATATAAATGGAATTGCTCATGGGAGCAGGGTACAGGGAGCATACAACTACCCTGTTACGCCAGCTCCACTGGCTGCCAACTAGCTTCCAGGCACAATTCAAAGTGCTGGTCTTGACCTATAAAGCCCTGAATTGTTATGGCCCAATTTACCTGTCCGAATGTATCTCCCACTATGAACCACCAAGGATCTTAAGATCATTCGGTGAGGCCCTGCTCTCAGTCCCACTGCCATCGCAGTCGTGTTTGGTGGGGATGAGAGACAGGGCCTTCTCTGTGGTGGCCCTTGGCTGTGGATCTACCTCCCTTATGAGATTAGATCTGCCCCATCCTTCCTGATCTTCCAGAAGAAACTCAAATCCTGGCTGTGGGATTAAGAATAGTCTGATTTACTGGTGAAGATAAGGTTTTAGTGGACTGCAATGGACTGATTTGGATGACGATTAGAACTGGCAAACTGCTTTAATGTATATTTGTAACTATTTTTAATGTATGCTAATTGTATTTTATATTATGTTATTATATTGTGTTAGCATCTAATAGCTGTCCTGAGTCTGTCTTTGGAGGTTAAGAAGGATGGGGTATAAATGTTCAAAATAAATAAATAAATAAATAATACCTAATAACTAAAAAAAAGTCAGAGAGGTTTCAAAACTGGATTCCACTGCTGTTCCTGCCACTTTCCATCACAGCCATGGTCCAAATCTCAAGGTTGGGGTGGGATAGATTTTTGAATAAAAGTGAATCTAAACATGCTATGCACTCAAAGTAGGAAACGCTCTGTGTGTGTGTGTGTGTCTGTGTGTGTGTGTGGTGTCGTTGAGGGGCGGAAGAGGAGTGAACGAGAGGGATGAGAGCTAAGCTGGATTCCACTGCTGTTCTTGCCACTTTCCATCACAGCCATGGCCCAAATCTCAAGGTTGAGGTTGTATAGATTTTGGTATAAAAGCGAATGGAAACATGCTAATCATTTAAACTAGAAAACTGTGTGTGTGTGTCGGAAGCGGAATGCAGGGGAGGGATGAGAGCGACTCATCCAGGAGCCTAAGACTCCAGACCCAGCAGAATAGAATAGATGCCAGCCTGCCCACCGTTTTGTGCCTCTCTCAAGTTGGGCAGGAAAGGGTGAGCGGCGTGCGTGGAAGTAAGCAAGGAGCGATGGTGGGGCGGAAAGAGGCAGGGGCTTGGCAGGGGGAGCCTCCTTCCTCGGGTGCCTTTGTGCGTTAAGGCAGGGGAAAGCCCCTCTCTGCTTGCGTCGGGCGTCCACCTGTTCCTCCGGCGGGGCTCGGGGCGGCCGGGCGCCTCCTCTTCCTCTCCGTCCTCCCCTTCCTCCTCCTCCACCTCCTCCTCTTCTTCCTCTTCCTCCTCCTCCTCCTCCTCTTCCTCGGGGCTGCCTGGGCTGGCGATGCTCCTGGGCGCGTCGGGCTGGCGATGGAGCGCGGCTCGCTGGAGTGATGGGACAGGCTGCGGAGATCTATTGGCTGCCGGCTTTGTAAATTTCATTCCGTTTGGTCCAATCGCAGGAGGAGAGAGCCGGGAACAGCCTGGACCCTCCGCTGCTGCCGCTGCCATCTCGCTTTCCCTCGCCGATCGCTCGCCGTCTCTTCTCCGCCTCGGCCGGGCCAGGAACCTTGGCTTGGCCTCCTCCTCCCCCGGACCCGCCGAGACGCGGTTTGGCCCTCGCCCCCTCCCAGCTCGAATGTAGGTCATTGCCAAGCCAAAGCACCGGGTGCCTTCCAACCTGGGGTCGCGGCTGGTGCTTCCCGGGGGCTGGCTCGCTCGCTCGCTCGCTCGCCTTCTTCCTCGCCGCTTCTGCTTCCTTCTTCTTCTTCTTCTTTTGGAGAGAGGCTGTTGCATTCCTTTGGGCGAAGGAGAGAGGGAAAGGGGGAAACACGCCGCCGCGCCGGGATTGGATTTCCCCCAAGGAGAGGGGCGCGGGGGGCTGGACCGGAGCTGGGCTGCTTGAGAGCCGGGTCGGGTGATCTCTCTGGAGCCCTCCGGGAGGAATCCTCCGGATCCCAGAGCTGCAAGGTAGGCAACAGAGATCGCTGCCCTTCCAACCACCCTCCCCCTCTCCCCACCTCTACCCCCGGATTTGCAGCTGGTCCTCTGGAAAGGGACAGCTCTGCTGCAGTCCTCTCTCTCTCTGCGCCTTTTTGGAGAGGGATCTCTCTCTCTCTCTCCCCCCCCCCCCCCCCGCTTATCCACCCTTTAATTTGAGGGATATGTGTGGAAGCGGGGGGGGGTTGCGTCTCTCTCTTTCTCTCTCTCTCTCTTTCTCTCTTTCCCCCCTTCTTTTTCCACCATTACAGGCGATTTGCCATGTCTTTCTCGATACACACGCGCACACGCATCTACACCTCTTTTATCACTGAACCGCTATTAGGGCGATTAGGAGCTGAGAGCAAAAGGGAAGCGGGGGGGGGGCATCACTTTGGTGCAGTCGGCTATTTGGAAAGGCTTCCTTGGAGGCGGGAGGAAAAGGGGGAAAGCAGGAGGGAAGCTCGGTGTGAGGTGTTTACAAAGTAGCTCTGCCTCAGGGACAAATAAACAGAAAAGCGGGGGGGGGGGAGAGAGAGAGAGAGAGAGAGAGAGAGAGATGGAGTGGGGGCGGTTTTGATATCTGCAGTGTGTGGTGAACGCGAAGCAGCTTTCCCTGCAAAGCCAGGGAGAATTGTGCAAACGACCAGGGACCTCATGGGATTTTAGTTGGCAACGGCAAAAGGAGGTGTTGTTGTTGACTGGTAAAAGAGGCACATTGAGCTTTGAGGCCCCTTTTGTCGGAGGAAAGCGATGGTTTGGTAGAGGGTTTTTTTTTTTTTGGTTGGGGAGGGGAAAGAGAAGGCTTCTCTGGAGGCGTCATGAAGCCAATCTCCAAGACTTTCAAGAGGCTGCCGCCTACTGCCGCTGCTTGTGGTTTTGTGCATCCATCTCCAATTCTGGGGGGTGGTCAGGCACGTGACCGATTCCAAGTCTGGCCCTGGGGTGGGTTCATGGCTGGTCCTTTCTATGAAGGGAAAAATAAAATACCACAGAGGGAGAAGTGCCCCCCTCTCTTTCCCAAGCATGGGTTGCCAGGGAGGGGTAGATGATATGATATCCTCTGTGTCATGGTTTGATGGTTCACAGATCTCTGAATCTTTTGATAGGGGAAAGGGAAGTGAAGTCACCCCCTCCCATTGTTTGAGATGATCCAAAGCAGCCAACTCTGTTAGAAAGTTAAGAAACCCACCACTGACCCCCCCCCCCCCCCCCCCCCCCCCCCCGCTTTCACCATGTGGTATCCCAGCATCTAGGGGCTGCCTCTGCTCTCTTAGACCTCCCCCTCACCCCTCCTCCTCTGCACTGCAGCTGCCTTCCTTTGCTATCACCCCCCTTCTCTTTTCACTCTGCAGGGCTCAGTGAATGATGGCCTGTCCCCCATCCACAGACACTCAAAAGGGGGACACCCTTCCCTAACTTGTTTGCCTTCAGGGCTGCCCTTCTCTTAACCAAAGGAGGGGATCCTCCCTGGTGGATAAGGTGGCATACAAGAAAATAGGAGGGATAACCTAATGTGTGAATTTGGAGAGGGAGAAGGGCAGCCACCCCCTCCTCTGACCAGCCACTGCAGGCACTTGGAAGTTTCTGATGCAGACAGGTCCCTTCCACAGGCTGCTCCTCTTTGGCACAAGAGGAAGCTTCTGCCGCTGCAGTTCCCCTTCCTTTTCCCTTGCAGCCTGTCAGGTTCAACTCTCTGGCTTCTCTGGCACCAGATAGCTCTTAGGCACCTTTGCAGGTTGAGTATCCCTTATCCAAAATGCTTGGGACCAGATGGGTTTGGGGATTTCTTATTGCCATTCCTGGATTTTGGAATATTTGCATATACCTAATGAGAGATCATGAAGATGGAACCCCAATTGAAATGCAAAATTCATTTGTGCCCCCCCCCCCACACACACACACCTTACAAATATAGCCTGAAGGTCATTTTATACACTATACTTATCCAGTTTTGTGCACAAAACAAAGTTTGTGTACTACTGAACTCCCAGAAAGCAAAGGTGTCTCTGGCTCAGCTAACAATGTGCACAATTTGGGGGATTTTACAATTTCAGATAATGGATGCTCAATCTAGAAAGGGGACAACCTTTCTCACCATGACTCCACTTTGCAGCATAGAATCATAGAATCACAGAGTTGGAAGAGACCTCATGGGCATCCAGTGCAATCCGCTGCCAAGAAGCAGGAAAATCGTATTCAAAGCACCCTCGACAGATGGCCATCCAGCCTCTGTTTAAAAGCCTCCAAAGAAGGAGCCTCCACCACACTCCTCCAACAGTATCACATCTTTTTCAAGCTAAGTTGCTGCTTCTCTGTCCATTCCTTCCCAACCCACCCTGTATTTTCCAGCTATTTGCCAGGTGATGAAAACTGGTGCTGCAGATGCAACCCAAGGGTAAAATAAAGTGAAGATGTGAACGTTTCCTCCTCCCCCTTCCCAGCAACAGTTTAGTGGCCCTGTTAGGTTTATGCCTCAGGGCTCACTTGAGCCAGTTACAAGACAGTAAGTCCCAGAGGTTATGAATATCCACCTTGAGATGTGCCTTTCATCTTATCCGATGCATGAAACTCAAAAGAACTGGATTTCTTTTCTTTCCTGTTCTCTCTCCATCACCAACTGGTTTTCTGGTTATTAGAGAATCTACGCGTTGTGGTTTATTGGTTTCCATTTTGCCGTAAAGATTTTACTAGTGCAGCAACACAAGCATGCCTTCTGTGACTGATTAATTGTGCTCCTCGCTGTTCAAGAAGATGACTATACATTATCTTAAGGAAAAGAAGGAAAAATAAAACCAACTCAATTGTCTCTATTTCTGGCCTTTGTATCATTGTTATTCTCAAGACCAATAGACAATAGGACAATGCTTATCTGCTCAGGTGCTGTGGTAATTTTCAGTCTACATAAGGAGGGGGGGGGATAACTTTTTTTTTAGTAAAAAAACAAGCAGGTGTTGTTCTTGCAAGAAGATTCCACAAGGTGGTAGTGTGGACACTTCTTAATGATGTGTATTTTATTTATTTGGGGTGGGGGGTGGGGGGTTTGGCCAATTGCTTGAATGGTTTTATTTCCATGTATTTCTCTCTGTAGCTTAAAAGACCCATTGTGTGTCTGTTTTGCAAATGACAAAAGCAGGATTGTTTTACAAATACCCAGGCCTGCTCTTCTATCTGCTGACTCTGACTTCTTGAAAAAGAGAAGGACTTACGAGGTTGCAAAGTTTATATTTGAGAATTTTAATAAATACAGGATGTAGCTTGTTTGAGAAAAGATATAGGCATGATGTCAAATAATATGTACCAGAGTAAAAAATGGACCTTTAACTCTTGGTTGTATTAGATACATAACGTGCTCTAGATTAAACTGTAGCAAGTCTAGTGATTCGATAACCTGAGGCAAAAAAATTGGATGGAGCTACTAAATCTATTACACTAGTTGTCTTCGATCTGGTGCTGAATTTTTGATTTACCATATGGGTGTATGAGTATGAAAAGTGTTTCAGTTCTCCTTTCTTTTCTCTCTCTCTCTGTGTATATTTATATAGCCAGCAAGGAGAAAACAGAGCCTTTCTGCAAGCCATATGATTAAAGAAAGATGTTTCTGAAAATAAGCTAAATCTTTTGATCCGGTATATTTAAGGTGGGGCACGCATGTGGCATCACAGAAATGACAGGGTTTGAAAGGAAAGGGCAAAAGGACAACATCAGGGAGAGAAATGTCATGGGCAAATCAATCAGACTGTTTCTTTCCAACCATATTGTTTAGGTTTGAAACTAAAATTAAAGGAAGGCCAAAATTATGTGTTCCTGTGATGCAAAAAGATGCATTGAAATATTTTATTTCCTTGTTACTCAATGGAAGATCATAGCTGATTACATCATTCACTAGATCAAAACCTCTTTCATGCTTCCCTTTCTTTTATTTCTAGTTCACTTTCCTACTGCAGATAATTGTTGACCATGGCATAGATTCAGTGACTCTGATGTAAATTTGTACATTCTACACAGTGCCTTCTCTTGCTTGGGATTATATAAAATTTACATCACACACACACATGCAAAACACAAACACAAACAGTTACCTTATCATTCTGCCAATAGTGA